ACGATTGTTTGCTCCGGGTAGTCAGGACACCCGATCTGTGCTACATACCGCATCACTTCGTTGGCAGCCACGTTGTCATCGACGCCCACAATGATCCGTTCACCAACCAGCTAGAACAGTCGAGGAGCCATTAAAGTGCCACCACTGAAGCGCTTACATTTCGAGCATTTGACTGGTGACGTGAAAGCGCGAGCTTCACTAATTCGCCAACTGTGACAATGGCAGGAATGGCGGCAGTTGCTGTGCCTACGGCACCCAAAGGTACGTCTTTTAGAATAGCACTAGACTGTTCTTGTTGGGGTTGAGATCCGGGCATGCAATGCCAGATGGTTCAAATTCACAAGAAACTGAGCCCCTGCAAGAAGGCACAGCGACCTAATACATTGTTGGTAGGTTGGATTGATTGACATGGATTGATTACGTGAGTTAGTGGGCAAGGATGAGGTAATCAACGTGGATATTAGAGCTTCTTTGTTGTTCCGACCAGAAAGTAACTCTCCTGACTCCTGATAGGCTGCGACATGAGAATGTGGATTTGGGTTATTATCCTCCTCTGGGTCTCCAGTGGCTACGGAGTTGCTCTTCGCCAGTTGTGTGAGAGCCTGTTACAAATGAGTCTTCTGCAAACAACATACTGCATCATAAGCAATGCTGGTCTGTTTCACTTGTTGCGGGTGCTTTTTACCTCCTGCATAGGTTCAGAAGTGGGCTCTTGGGGACAGAATAGCAAAGTACAAAGGACTGCTTGGATTGTTTCAGTCCTAGTCGAGCTAGCTGTGTATATATGAGGGTCTGTCCTGCAGTGAAGAGCTGAAACCTTGTGATGAAGGTGCATCAAGAATGGTCTGGCCTCCATTCGCAATGTGGCCCCCTATTTGTTCCCTCATCAATGTTCTTTGCCTCGATTTGGCAGGCTGCTCGTGTCTGCCAGACTGGATTGCCAGATAATACTCTCCTATTGACTAAAGCATATCGTTCTGCATCTGTGCAGCCGAGCCCGCTCCCGCAGTATGGAATGGAGTGCTTACCCAAGAGAAGGTGGGGCTCATTCAGTCATCATACGCAAAGATTGACGAGAAGATCGGCGCATTGGGCTTTGGCAAGGAGTTCTACACGGTCCTCTTCGAGATGGCACCAGCAGCCCAGGCGCTCTTCAAGTCTGGGTGAGCAGCGCTATCCTCTTACGCTGCTCAACTGCAATCTCAACTGTAGGTCTGCTTATGTCTAGTATTTGGCCTGGTTTGATAAAACTACCTGCTCACATCATTGGAACTTGAGCCCGTCAGGTTACAAGAAGCCACCTGAGGTGTTGAACTCGAACCGAAGGGGTTTCTGAGCTGTTTCCTTCTAAGTTGCCCTCGTCTTTCAGCATGCTCAAGTCCAGCGACATGTTCACCCCTATGGTCAAGGTTAAGTCTTTGTCAATGCTTTGCCAACCGGCTCCTGAACTTCTTAAAAGGTCAACACCAATTTCCCTTTCCCTAGACCCCTGAGGCTGAAGAGCGAAAAGGTTAAAGAGTACTTTGCCCCCTGGGCAGACTTTTTGACGGTGGAGTAACAATCGACCTTTTCATAACCGGTTTTCTACCCTTCATCAGACCCGGTAGTTCCCGCAGGCGCGAGGCTTGAAGAAGAGGTTGCCAGCATGCTAACCACACTGCTCAGGAACACTAATGATGCTTCTACCAACTAAACCTAATCTGCCAAAGCGGCACATAAATTCTTACGAAACCCATCCCCCGATCTCAGAAGAAAAGGCGCTGACATCCTGAGCAAGGTACTTTTGCGTCAACAGCCAACCAAACGATTCCTAACTGGCCCCTAAACCCCCCCTAAACCCGACCCCAGCCCCTGATTTTTCTGCAGGCGTGTGACCAGGGAGAAGATGTTCACCGGTACACTAACAACGCTGGTTAAGAACATTGGCGATGCAGGACCAGTCACACTTTTCCCTGACCTGGCTCCTAAACCTTTACCCAACCCACCCCTGCAGGCGCGAGGCCCAATCGAAGATGTTCGCCGGTATGCTAACCACGCTGGTTAAGAACATTGACAACGCGGACAAAGTGGTGCCCGTCCTCCAGGCCCTCGCCACCAGGCACGTGCGGTACGGAGTCAAGGAGGCTCATTTTCCGATAGTCGGGGCGGGTCTCCTGGCCACTTTGGAGAAGGTGTTGGCGACCGACTTCACCCCCCCGGTCAGGGAGGCGTGGACCGAGCTTTACGGGATCACGCAAACGGTGAGATTAGCAATGTGTTCGCCCCCTTTTGGGTGTCAATTGTGCGCAGAATTGGTGCTCGGAGCTCGACTCTTGGCCACATTGGAGAAGGTGTTGGGGCCCGATTTCAGTTCTCCGGTCAGGGATGCGTGGACCGAGCTTTATGGCATCACGCAAACAGTAAGAACGCATCTTCACTTCCATTTCGTTTGTGTCGGTTATGCACAGACAGGAAAGTGGTCGGGGCGGATCGGACCTGGTTATTTGGAGCGCGTGTTGGGCGGCCGGTTTACGATCCCCGGTCAGGAGTGAAGGCGGACAGAGCCGTTTGGCATCACGCAAATTGGGGGAAAGTTCGCCTTACGAAATGGTGGAAATCCGGCACCTCGGTGCTCCAGGGTAATTTGTTGTTGGGTCGCTCATCATTCTTGTGATGGTCGGGATCGGATTTTCGGTTGTTGTGGAGCACGACAAAGGACCCCGTTTGATGCCCCGCCTGAGACCGAGCTGTTCAGAATCTCACAAACCGCGAGCGTTTGCCAACCGTGCCATCCTCTCAAATCTAGTTCGTTCGAATAGTTGTGTGGCAGTCGAGGGCGGGCCTCCTGGGCGCTCAGAGAAAATTTGACGCGCTGGTTTTACCTCCTCCGGTCTTGGGCCTGACCTGACATGTGTTGCTTCACGACGGAAATGAGTATCCCCGTCCGTTTTTTTGCTTTTTGGTCGTTGGTTCTGTTTCTGGTTTTCCCCGTTTGCTTGTCGGCTTTCCTGACCGTTTCCACTCCGTCCTAACGTCCAATAGAGACCTTCTCTTAGACCCTCGACGCAGATTCTGTGCTCTTCTCTGGCCAACTTGCTATGGTACGAGGATTGCGCACGGTTCTTCTTTTTTCCTTCTGAACTCCCCTTGTGATTGTGAATCCCAAGCAGCTCTTGACAGAAGTCTGCTCTCATGAGCAGTAGGACCCTAGCGCTCACGGTCTGCTAACGTGCAATTCTGGTTGTTGTGAAAGCGGACTCAGGTTTGATAAATTTCCAGTGTGAAGGCGAGAGTATGAGAACGTTCAAAGCGCCAAATTACGGTCGCGCTTTAGAAGCCATGGCGCTTACTTCAAAGGGTCCGTATCGACTGACACTCAGGCCAAAAGCCCTTTCCAATACATGGGGGAACAGGTACCTATTTGCGGATCGAAGATACCTGAAACATTTTGATTATATATACCGTCCTATGCTAGAGCGACGGATGTGCAATGAGTAAGACTAAGCTGCGCTCCTCTCATCGGTGACGCTACAATCTGCCGCGCTTCTCATCGCTGACGTCACAATCTGTCGCTCTCCTTTCTAGGTGATGTGGGCCAAGATGGAGGAGGTGATCCAGGGAAAGCCTGCAGAGTAACGCGGGCTGACGTCCGCAAGTCTAGAGGGGGATTATGCCGGGGCGGATCCGGATTGCGTAGTATGTGTTGTTGAGGATCATGAAAGTTCCCACGAAGGTTCAATTATTCAGGGACGTTCTTGGCGAGCGCGCGCATGATAGGCTCTAGCTAGCAAGATTGAAATTAACGTACGAACCTGCATAGGGGCCTCACCCCGCAGCCGGCTCAAGTATTGCTTTGATGTGTTGCATGATTAACCGCCTGGGAAAGGCAAGGACATTGAGAATTGAGCAATCAGATTGCCCAGCCATGGAGCTAGCAGAAATACAGATTGAAGCGTGATTTGTCAATAGTGGCTTAACTTGAACCTGCACCAGCACGTTCGAGATCTTTGGCTGATAACAGCACAATTTGCATGGCAGACTTGATCTGCTCCTAACGTGAGATTGATCGAGCTTTTCAAGGATCGAACTAGGCAATACTTTTCCTTGGTCGCGATGGATCCACGACGTAAAGACTTTTCAATTCGATCAGATGCATGCAGGACGTTTGCGGCCACCAGCCTGGCCGCCACGTCGGACTTACATGTGTATGACTCATCAATGTGATAAGTTGCTGGCCGGGCCATGCATGGTTTCCGGCGTTGTACGTATTGGCATGCAGTGTTTATACTTTAAGGCGCGCCGCGGCGGCTCCATATGCCACAATCACGCACTAGTCGTCGAATTAGCAATCCGACTGCGGAGTTCCTTCCAAGTTTATGCACGTTGATAGAAAGCTTCTGTAGAGCCTGCCCATGATATGTGACGGCCGGGAGAGTATCACGGGCTGCATCAAACTCCGACATGCGCGGGCGCGCAGTACGTGCATATTGTTTCGACACCCATATGATCCTCAGAACTAGACGCTTCCAGGTAGTAGCTTGCAGTGGCAAAGGCCGTATATAACGGTGACGATTCTGGCTGGTTGGCGACCCTCGATTCCGATCAGTTGCAAGAGGGCCAATGAGTAGGATACAGACTACACGTACGGATCAAGAGTCCGATCAAAAGAGTAAAAATCTACAAAATCGCAATCGCCTGCCAGGCTGCCCGATCAAAAAAGTTGTGGCCATCTATGTAGCCAAATGAGGGGCTCACAGTTTCGCACATGGTCAAGCGGCTTATCTTTTTTGGGTACCGAAGCCTACACCCCACTTACATTCGGCTTTACCGTACTCGCGTCCATCACCATCAGAAACCTACTCCATATTTTACAAAGAGACTTTTGAGCAATCGTAACGGTCTACTTTATCTCTGAACTCCCACTTAACCCGAAACGACGTTATGTGCCACCCCATCAGGATCGTCCCTTATACGCACTCTTCACCATTTTTCCTTCCAGGGTCGCAGGTCTAGTTCGTGGCTCCACGCGCTCCGTGGCTGGCAGTGTATCCGCCAATACGCCTCCGCAATATCTATTGGATTGAGAACGCCGTCTTCGGCCTGATACCAAAGAAAGAAAGTCCCGTCAATCAAGACTGAAATGTGGATTATGTGTCGCTTTACGGCTCTCTCTATCAGGCGTGCTTCGGGAACGAATGCTTGACGTTTCGTAACGCGATCGGCGAATGATCGCCTATAACCAGACGGGCGCAGCGCAGCTAGACAAATTAGGTCGTGGGGGATCCTCTCATGGGAGTTTGCTTGTGGAATCGGCGCGTCTAACAGAAGAGGCTTTGTACCCCGACTCTACAAAGGCCCTTTGGTTCATGCAGACAGCAATACAGGCAGCCCAAAATGGACAGATTAAGATCCTTAGCCTGTGCTTCCGAATCCTTGGGAGCATCTCAAATCTCGACAGCCGCAAACTCACAAACTGGCGCGGTGCAAGATTTCCTTGAAAGCAGTTGCACGTCAAAAAAGAAACTGAACACTGAGAAAATTACATTGGCTATACAGCCGATCCTTGCAGCTTGGAACAAGGTCCGCAATCGACTGTCGTACTTTCTACACGAAGGTCCCCTTCCTAATATCTTTTGGAAAGAGACTCGTAACACTCCTCACTTTGAGCGCCGCTGTCTCTGGGAAGTTCTCTCGGATCCAGGCGGTGTCGATCGCCCCGTCGATGACCACGTGGGCCACGTGGATGCCACGTGGCCCCAGCTCGCGGGCCATGCTCTGCGCGAGCGCTCGGAGACCGTGCTGAAGAAGACACGGAAAAAGGCGATTTCAATACAGCAACAGTAAGTGTTAGTAAAAGTTAGCTAACCAGCCTGGGACGGGTGGGGTTACGTTGGGGGTTTAGGGCGGGAACGGGTGCGGAGCAGGTCATTTTGTGGGTTCTGATTTCAGTGTTAGTGCAGGTGCTTAACATTGCTAGAGCTTTCCATTGCTAAGCCGAAGAGACAACGGAAAGAGCGCCCATAAGCGGGAAAGCTTTCAGTTGCGGGACTCCCGAGCAAGTGTGGCTCGAACAAGCAGCGAGCGAACTCTTGACAAGCGGATTTCGCTGGCAATGTTTTCGAGGGGTGGTGAGCGAAGCGAAAGAGCAATACGGAGTTATGGACGCGTAAAAAGCGGCTCGCCGCCGCCTGTTTCCTCGAAGGAGCAGCAAGTGACCCGTCGAAGATCTGGCAAGGCTGGCCGTTTTCATGTAGAAGTGTACTTCCAATGCTCAAGAACAGCCGTGCTTCTCTCAAATCATTAAACTAAAGCTTCTTTGACGCTCCCCAAAAGCTGCGGAGAAGCAACACGACGACAGCAAGGCAAAACCGGGACCAGCGCTGACGTCAGTAGCGGCTCAGGTTGCTGCCTCTCATTCCGGATTCTTGCCCCAAAGAGGAACATTCTACCATCTTTCCACAGGGGTTGCTGCGAGCATGTCAGGCATGTGAGAATCCACGTGAACACGTTTTCTATGTGATTGATAACAATCCCTCTTGACTGGTTACAATCACAGAAGGACAGACTCAAAAACCCAGAACAGCAGGAATAGAAATCGACTCATCAGTCACGGCCCCGTCGAAGTTCCAATTCTAAGGGACCACTAAGACCTGCATCCAAAATTAAAGGACCACAAAGACCTGCATCAATTTCATGCCCTAAACGTCAGGCCCCTTGACAACAGTGATGAGACCACTACAAGAGTAATTGATAAATCCACAAGTTCAGTACTTCGACAGCAGAGATCGTTACATATCGCGAAACGCCTTTCATAACAGTACCAATGGCTGGGAGTGAACACGCCTAAGTCTTATCCAATTAGGATTTATTGATAAATCTTCGGAAACAGAATATCGTGAGCGCACCTTGGCTCCTGAAAAAGCCGCAAACCCCGGAGCCCCTCGTATGCTCGCGGTCGCACTGGTGAAGATGATTGTTCCGGCCTCCCGTTTTACCATACGCCGGGCGGCTTCTCGGCCGGTCAGAAATCCAGCGAAGCAGGCCATTTCCCACACCTGAAAAGGTTGTAAAATCCTTTCAGGACTGAAAGAAGGAGCTTTTAAGAGGGTTTCAACTTCGTTCCGGTTTCGATCCCGCTCAGTCATGCGCCGGGGCGGATTCCCACCCAACGAAGCAGGCCATCTCCAAACCTGAACTTTCAAAGATAGGCTTCTAGGACTGAGAGAAAGAGTTCGAGACGGGGATCCAGACTCGTTCTGGCGTTTCACCGTATGTCGGGCGGCTTCTCGGCCGGTTAGGAACCCGGCAAAACAGGCCATCTCCCAAACCTGAACTTCCAAAAACAAGCTTTCAGGATTGGGAGAAGAAGAGCTTTGAATGAGGGTTCCAAAACCGTTTCAGCCGCTCGTTTTACTGTGTGCCAGGCGGCTTGCCAACCGGCTAGAAACCCGGCGAAGTAGGCCCTGTCTCAAATCTGCGGGGCTCTGAAAAACAGGGTTCCGTATCTGAGAAGATAAGTATACTCGAGATTTCAAAGGTTTCGAAACCCTCAAATCCCTGGGCAGTATAAAAACGTTCAAAAAAATTTCTCTGCGGGAGGCTGGCCGAAGGGGGGTCATTTCGCAACTACAAAACTCACTCTGGCCAGTGCGTCGCTATGAAGATATGCCCGATGTCCAAGAGCCTGTCAAGCCGCGACTTACCCACTCGCTGACGTCATCGACAAAGGACTCCGTCGGAAAACAAACTAGACTTGGACTATACAAAAAGCCTGCGGACCTTTTCCTCAGTGACGCCTATATTGCTTTCAAGCCCGAGAAAGGCAGCGACGTTCTTGGGGATTGGCACGTGAAGAAAGCAGAGCGCCCAGACTGGAGAATGATCCTCAGACTTGAGAAAATTTCCAAGAATTGTTTCTGAGAACGGTTCTAGACCTTCGCCCGTCAAAGCGAAGAACTTTCGCTGCAGGTCTTGAGATCCATAAAGTGAAGCTTCCTTAGAAAGGGCGTATCACTGGGGCGGGCGTCAACGTCAGCACCGGTCACCGTCCTTCGCACTATTTCGTGCTCGGAGACACAGAGCGATACACTTGTCTTTCGGCGACGCAAGAGCAGAGCGGCCTGCTAAGCAGTCGCTCTGTGACGTCATTGAGACGCATCTGAATACGCCCCCTTAAACTTCATTCAGAGTTGTATGGACACTTTCCTTTCGCCCAGAATTGTGACGGGCTATCTTCGAGCTCAGACTCGCGGAGGAAATACTGATGGTAGGAGGAAGAAACGAGCAAGGAAGAAAGCTTCCAAAGAATACGATTCGGCGAGCTCAGGTATAGACCTGGGGAACGCGAGTGGAGAAGCACCTAAGGAAGCAGATACGACCAGTGAAAAGGGCCAGCTGGCAAGCGAATCTGCCAACTTCCGCTACAAGAAGATTTTATACTTCCTTGTGGGCTCAATGTAAATTACAGAATTCTGGGGGTTTCGTTAGAGAGGAGAAGAGCAAGCGTAAGCAGACCTTGCGGTAGACTCGGCCGGTTGTTTCGAGGATGCTGAAGGAGACATTTGCCCCCACGTTGAAAACGGCGACCTCGATCGGCCCCACTTCCACTTCGATCTTGTCAAAGAGCGCGACCATGTCTTCTGCAATGAAAAAGATTCGTGAATGTCAGAACCCATGCGGCTTTATTGTATGCTTCACGTGCTTATAATGTTTCTCCTTTTCTATTCTGCTCTTGCCCCCTGCTTCTCAGAAATTACTCCCTCACAACAATCTGCCTTTGCCAGACTGATCTCCAACCACATGATGAAAAGGAAACCGTTGCAGGACAGCCTTTGGTGTTACTTGCGTGACAGGAGACAGTTTGATATGACATTGACAAGAAACAGAAAGTTGGAGTATGACCTCCTTTTAAAAGGCCTGGATGCAGCAGGAATGATAAGAACGGGACTAAACGAGGGCCACCCAAATATGAAGGCAACTGTCGGCGTAGTCCCCGATGACTGGAGTTTCCTTTGGTTATTCTTGGGCGTAGAACTTCTGAAACAGACAATCTAGCTGACAAGATTTTCGTATAAACTGCTTTTGAATGTCAGAAGCAAAGCACATTGTGTCAGAATAAGTCATTTGATATTCATTGAAAGAGCACGCAACGTTCTGACCAGCTGAAAGGGCATCCACGTCTTTCCTCAAGCGTGCCTGTCAGAGCGGGGTCAAGGAGAATCAGTAATTTGGAGACCGGGACCTGGGGTGCTGTTGGAACAGCTACGTGGCGCGGTTTGGGGTTTTGACCCGGGGCTTTCAATAAATGATTGGGCGTAAGAGGCCTAGCCCAGGGTTTTGCCCCTAAACCTCGCCACGCCAGCCCTTCCAACAGCACCCCCGGCCCCGGTTCCCAAATTACTGATTCTCCTTGACCCCGCTCTGACAGGTGGCTGGGTCCTTATTGCCTCTCAGGGAAAGGCTTGAGAGGAGAACTGTCAAAAGTGTCAGTGGTTGCTTATTTTCTTACAACACCGAACAAATAAGTCAGTTTCAGCTCCAAGCTGAGTAATTGTTCAGGTGCGTTTTCCTTGCTCCACCATTTTTGTAACTCCAATACAAGGTTTGATGCAACCGCTAATTCAGATACAAACAGCGTCATTGCCTGGAAAAGATCGAGTTGAAGCAATCTGCGCTGCTCCTGACCTTATTGCCCCCACCTTCGATCCTGGCATCCACGCCAAACGCATGCGCCTGGCCCCCACTCTCCTCAATTCTGGCTACAAGCGGAGCCAGCTTGTCTCCATTCCTGCGAACGGCGCAGACAGCGTACCCCTCAGCCGCAAAGCGCTCGGCAATCGCGCCACCTGTTGCGTCACCAGCCCCAACCACAACCGCCACCTTCTTCATTCTGAAGGAATTGTCCAGAAAGCAGCTAGCTGTTCTATCTGCTTCTCCACTACCTACTCCATCCAAAATTTTGACGTTTGAGCTTGCGTTGCTGACCTGCGAGCATTCCGTGACTCACATGATGTTGTCAGACAATTCTGGCTTGGTGAGAAAGCTGAGCAACACCTGGAGTATCGCGCCCTGGTTGAACTTCCCATCGCGAAGCATCACCGAAAGAAACCATCACCGGTCACTTTCAGACCGCCGGTTGTTTCTTACTGCAAACGGTTTTCAGTCCGTCAGACCCTCGCTGTGGGATA